ATAAATTTTCTTATGAATATATTTATTTTTTGTTGTATAAATTTGTAAGAATTCACTAGTTTTTATAATTGTTTTGCATTAAATTCAAAACGAGTGAATTAATAGGTTTTATTAGACTGTGAATGTAACATTTAAGTTGTTAATGCATGACTTTATCTACAGAATTGATTTTGAAGAAATGACGGCTACTATGTTGATACAGATGGTTGGTGGTGGCATGTGGTGGTAGAGTTTGAGTTTTTGACTTCTTTGAATTAGTGAATTATTGTGAAATAGTTTGTATTAAGTTTGTGAATTTTTTGCATTAAACTATAAATGGACTGTGTAAATATGTATTTAATATAAGTTTTGTGTTAAAATATGAGAGCATATACGGATGAAAATATTAGACTGTAAAAATTATAAGTTTGCTCTTTTCATACCAAAAACACAAAAAATTAGGATTTTAACATGTTTAATAAGAGTATCGTGTAAATATTTACTAATTAATTGGGGTTCTTAATCTTTTATGGTTCTCATTTGAACCACTCCCTATATATATATATATATATATATATATATATATATATATATATATATATACACACACACACACTGGTGGGGTACCCGCACGATGCAGTGGCGTTCGATTGATTTTTCGACGGGCGGTTTCCGTACGATAATTTTTTTTTTTGCTTCAGATAGTTATATTCAGGCTTTTGGCGGACTGTTTTGTGTCATATAGTTCTAGTGGTGGCAAGTTTCTACGTAGTTGCGTAGATATGCAATACGGTTGACGGAGAATAGTTTTCTTTTGGGTGTCATGTATTGGTCAAGCTGTTATTATTCTAATTTACCACTAAGTTATATCCAGTAAGAAACTCAGCGCAATACAGCAACAACATATATTTTCATTTTATATTTTCATTTTATATTTTCATTTAAGGGTTAGTTTATAGACGATGATGAGTTTCCTTTAGGTAGGATTCGAATTGTTTCTTTTTAGGTGAACTAAATTTTTTAGCCAACTAATTTCATTGTGGAAATATATCGTATTTCAAAAAATAGTGGATGCATTACAAACATCAATCCTTAGTGTCAAGTGGTAAATAATTGTTTTTTGTCCAATTATTTTATTTCTATAATTATTTTTCAACGTGATAAAAAACTACATAAAAACATAGAAATTAGAAAACTTCAAACTTTATAGACTTATTAAAAACAATACATTTCTAAAGATAACAAAAGATGTACCTTACCAACAATATTAAAAATTATTAAAGATGATCATGTTTACTTTCTCACAATTTCGGTTGGTAACATCATATAATGTACGTTTTCTTGTATCCCTCATATTATAAAAACATTTTAAATTACACATTTTATTTTATATTTTATATTTCATATTTTATATTTTTGATTGCATTATCTTAATCTCTTGTAAACATATAATATGCTAAAGTTTATACATACGATATTATAATATAAATAACATTTAAATACTTTTCTAATGTATTAGTTAATGTTAACATTTTCGTATATTAAGTTATAAAATATAAATAAAATATCATTCGTTTAAAATATCTTTTTTTAAACAACAATAAATAAAATTCAAACTCAAATTGTAATTATAATTTATCTTTCAACAATTGTTATCCAAGGTGTGTTATCATTCCCAACACTTCATTGGAAATTACAAATTTAAATTGAAAGGCATCTGGCATGGGTATTGGCTTGGCTGACTAAGGTTGCTATTGCTACTTGTCTATATATCAATATATGGCTAATAATTTAAAACAAATAGTAATTTAGATAAAGTAAATGTTACATCTATGACACTTATAATTATGAATTATTTTCCATTTTCACCATTAAAAATCTGGTCACTTTTATTGTATTATATAACTTTTATCTTGTAATATTATATTAAAATTTCAAAATACGTTTGCATATTTTCATCATGTTTACATTTCAATTTTGACGTTTAGTCATATTTTAATTTAAAGAATCCCCATGCTTTTTTTAATTTTACCCTTCCTGTTTTAGTTATTTTTTAAAAATTAATGGTGTGAAATCTTTTATGCCTTAAGTTGTTCTCTTGTACATTATTATATAGGTTGAAAGGTCTTGTGATGAAAAAACTTGTTCTTAAATATCAGATATAGGCTTCTTTATTTAATTATATATGATGTATAATTAACAAACCTAAACAAAATGCGAAAGGAAACAGAAATCTGATTCGTTTTATGGAAATGCAAAAAAACAAAGTTCCAAAAACTATACCTTTCTCCAGCCCACTAGCATTACATAGCTTGCATTCATTACAAAAAAATCCATAAAACATGATTTAAGAAATATAATCAAAATCTCACAAAATACAAATATTAGGTTCATACACAAACTACATATTAGCATGTTATCCACAAACAACACATCTACCACTCAACCCCATTATCATCATTTTCACCTTAAAAGGAAATCACCTTCCTTCCATCTCCATTCCCACCAATTTTAGTTAATTAAAATATGGCTTAGGGTGCCTATTAGCATCAATTCCTGGAGTTGAAATCAGGCCACATCTTTATTTGCATATCCTTTAGTTCATGCAAACACAACAAAATAAAATCCGTCAAGCAATGAACATCGTTTGAAATCCACATTCGATTGACTGATTCACAATCATTAAAGCTGGCACAGAGTATCCAAGATCCAAATGATTCTCAACAATTTAGTTTCCTAACGATACTAATATGTTTTACCACACACACAAACAAACATCAAAACATAGATTCACAAATAGATATCATAAATCGTTTTTGAGGAAAATTTATTTATGATATCACACTCAAAATTTTATACATTCTAATTTGAATGCAATTCAATCAACCATAAGATTTTACTTCTTACAATCTAAAGACAAACCCAACAAATGGTACTTGAAATTTTAGATATTATAGGAACTATTTGTTTTTTATCTTATATCTATATATTATAGAAATGTGTATGGAGTTGACATCTTTATTAGCATAGTATAAAATGTTTTACCATCTCCCCAACAGAAAACATGCATTTTTCAAGCATCATGTTGCACCCATTTCAAACTGCTCTTTTAAAGATGGCCAGAAATAGATACTTCTACTTTGTGAGAGTGGTTTACTTGTGTGTGTGTGTGAGAGAGAGAGAGATAGAGAGAGAGAGAGAGAGAGAAATCTATTGGTTAAAATATGCATCGATATGTATATTTAAAGGGAGAAATATTGAAGCAACATACAATAACTTTTGAGTGAGGGCTGGAGGAGGCCTGTACAGAAGGAGACAAAAGTTGAATCATGAAAATAAAATCTACAAAATGGTACCTTGACAAAAAAAAATTGTGCGTCTTCATCCAGGTCAAATGCTTCCCTCGTCTTAAAAAAAACTTGTTTAGAAAAAAGGAAACGATGGGTAGTGGTGAATTACGTTACCTCCAAGCTAAGAGGGTGTTTGGGATTAATTTTAAAATGACTTTTTGGCTTTTGTCTTTTTCAAAAAGTCAAAAAATTCAAAAAGATGTTTGGCAAATAAAAAGTTCTTTTGAAAATAACTTTTTGTCAAGAACAAAATGGGGGGTTTTCAAAAGTCAGGAAATCCAATATTTTGGTGACTTTTAGCCATTTACAAGGTAAATTAGATTCAAAAGTCAAAAAAATTAAGGCAAAACACTTTTTAACACCAACTTTTGGATTTTGCTCATTCAAAAGTTAAAATCAAAAAGGACTTTTAAGCACTTAAAAGTAATCCCAAACACCCCCAAAATCGAAAAAAACAAAATGACACAAAAAGATGAAGAAAGGTTATCAAAACTATACCTTGCGCATTTCGAACCCCTCTCTAAAAATATAAATGTGTTTGCCTCCTGTATCTGCAAAAGAAAGAGAGCGATAAACTGAAACAGATCTATTACCACCAAAATAGTCAGATAATCAGATACGTGTTAAGAGTTTGAAGAACACTAACCGTGATTGTGTCAGATCTCAAACCACCACACTTGCAGCGGCAATAAATCAGGATGCCGACAACAACAAAAAGGGGATACGTTGGTGGTGGGGTGAAACAACATCCACAACTGTATTGAAGAAAAATGGTGATGTCATCGTGTTGGGTTCTTCAGAGAGGAGCATTTTGAATTTAAATTTTGAATCGAGATTAGGGGAAGATGTATCTGAAGATGAGAGAGGTGTTTTTAGGTCTGAGAAAGAGAGAAAGAGGGAGGCGTGTAAATACAAATTAGGTCAATGGTGTTATGTCTATATATCGGTGTGAATTGTTAGAGAGAAAAACATCAGTTTAAAAAATAATAAAGGATTTTGATTGGTTGTAAGCTTTTCACAAGGATAACTAATAACATGATCTAGACCGTCCAAAGAATATCTAAATGTTCATATTCCATTTCCTTGAGTTTAAGAAAACTGTCTTAATTTTTAGGGGTCCCACATTTATATACTCTTTATAAGATAGTGTATATATATATATATATATATATATATATATATATATATATATATATGAGTTCAATTGAGAAAATGAAAAAAATTGAAAATTAGGGAATCATTCTGAGCCACTCATTTATTTTGGACGCAAAAGTCTCTACGGTACCGGCGGAAATGGGAAAGAAATACATGTGAGTTTTCCAACAAAACATGTTTCCTTAAACTATACTAATCATTACCTTAATGTATACAAAAACATCATTTTTTCGTTTTTTTTTTTAATTTTTGAGGAGCTATTTTTATCGAAAAATGATTTCAAATATATCAAAATTCATAATTTTTTATTCTTTATAAATAGGCATACATATTGATATAATTTTAAGATAAAATAAAAATTTTACTTTTTTATAGTTTTAGCTATTGTTATTCATAAGTGAATAAAAATGCATCAGATTTTTACTACATCATATTTGTTATTCATTTATGAATAAAAAGTATGATTTTTTTTTACAGTTTAAGTATCATTCATATATGAATATAACATATAATAAACTCTGTACAGTTTACATCAACTCTCGCCACATTTTATATTCACATATGAATAAAACGTATATCATTCATATATGAATATAACATATAATAAACTTTGTACAGTTTACATCAACTCTCGTCACATTTTATATTCACATATGAATAAAATGTGTATTAGCTTTCCCCACAAGTTATATTTACATACGAAGAACACATTTATCATAATTTTGTTACAGTTCATTTGTTATTCATATATGAACTAGAAGGGAATCATGCGCGCCGTTGGCGCTGTGTTTGGTTTTTTTCTCTTGTCGGCAAAAAACCTCCTCTGATAACAGTCAAAACATTAGTCAACAGAAGGTTCTAGAATTGTGGAAAAATGTTTGAATTTTATTATTACCTTGAGTACCAGTTGGACCAAAAACACGGTTGAATTGAAACAACTTTTTCCATCTTTATGATGTTTTAAAGGATCTAAAACCACTAATGACCCATCTTCTTCAATGTAATCGAGCACGTTCTTTGTGTCAGTTCTAAATGTAATGCAGGTCTAATCCTGCAGTAAACCTGAATGTTTCCTGAAAATTTAAAGATTGTCGAAGATAAAAGACAACATTTTAGTAATGTTTAAAGTTTAACAAAAATAAAAATATGTTGTTTACCTTTTAAATCTTCGACCATGTTGTATAAAGTCTGGTTTTCTTTCACAACCTTATGGTATCCATTTACAGCGATGGACAATACCTCTACTTGACTCTCTGAAACAATCAGCAAAAAAATAAATTCGTGAATGTTAATTTGTGTATAGGCCTTTTTTTTTCTTCAATGTAAGAACGGTTTAGTAATCTATCAAATTGTCAATGGTTACAAATCGTTAGAAGAAGGTATTATAACTTTTTCGAGAAAAAAAAACATATAACAAACCATTTAGAGCTGTTTCTTTTTTATATAATGAGCTTAATCAGGACAAATATAAACATATATGAGTATATATCTACGTTATATACCCATCTATTGCAGCATCATGGTATTGGATTTGTCTTGATTTCATAGCCTGATCATTCTCATCAACAAAGAATTCCTTTGACCCATACCTGGTGATGTCTTTCAGCTCTTCCTACCTGTTATAAATTATAATAATATTGTGAGAACAATTAAGGAAAAAAAAACAGATGAATGGAATTGAATTTAAATTAAATTGATACATAAATATGAAAAAAAATGATAATTTAAGAAGTAATAATACGGAGATCAACATGCTCAAAAGGGCTTCCACTTCCAAAAGCTATATTTTCATACGGATTCTAAGGGAATCTGAGAGAATTGGAATTCGTGATTCCTTTTTGTTCATTGTTCCTAAGATTGGGTGGAAGGAATTTCATTTCATTATTCATTTTTATTTTGCCAAATGACCAAAATACCCCCATTGTCCTTCAAAAATATTATTCGAATAATGGATTCAGAAAGACAATCCATTCAAAGTGGGATTGGACATGCCGAAAATAGCAGGTTTAGTGGAATCTGAGTCTCGTATGGCTCTAAGCACCTGAATATAGAATACAACAACAAAAACATGGACTCATGAGTGTATGCAACAAAAGTAAATTTAGAAGTTTCTTTTAAAAGGAAAAAAACAAATACTTATTTGCAAAAAAATTATCTCATATTTAGGTAGTAGATATCTTAGGACAATGTGTAAAAATATTTTTATAAAGTTAAGGGCAAATCACAGAAAAACAATTATATTTTGAAAAAGTTTAGGGTTTAATCACTTAATATATTTTTTTTCAATCAAGCCATGAAAGATTCAAACATTTTTTTTCAAAATAATTATTTTAACATGATAAAACGTAACATGCTAATATGTTTAATTTGGAAAATTACCAACGAAACCTGATATATAACATGCCAACATGGTTAATATGAGAAAATATCTTTTTATTTTGTGGTTTGATGGGAAAAAAATATAGTATTAGTTGTTAAACTGCAACATTTTCCAAAATATAATGTTATTTCCTGTAATTTAGCCTAAAATTAATAAAAAATTATACTCACTAAAAAAAATACATATATGGTCATTTAAAACACTTCCAACTCGAAATAAACCAAGAAGAACATAAGGTTTGATCTTTTTTACCTACAAAAAAGCTAAATTTGTCATCTCCATTTCTAAAGTATATAATTTTTTTTAAAGTGTTTCGTTTTCATATAATTAATTAAATAAACACAATTATTCCAAAAATAGATATATTAGTATACCACTTCAAGAAGATCCGATCCCTCATGGAGGTCCAATATCTTTAGTAAATGGTGCAACTGCTGAGTCAATACAACCTCTCTCCTTTGTGATTAAACCCTGCATCCAAAAAAATTTAAAACTCGATATCCATAATAGCAACGTAGTCACGTGATCAAATATTTAATCATTTTGTAAGTAAAAAAAATGGTATATATTAACGTATATTACTATATTTATTATATTCATGTTCATGAACAACAAATCCCTGCTCCATTGGCAGGTGAATGCACCAAAATATCAATACTACCAAGATCCTTCTTTAGTTACTCTGCAACTTTCTAAATTAAGGAAGAAAAAGTAATCAATAATTTCAAAAAACAAAAAAAAAATGCAAAAAAATAACAATAGAGTTAGTATATACTTGTAGAATCCAATTACTTGCACCCACGTAAGGTTTATTTACTTAATCTGTATGAATAAGATCATTTAGACGTTTCTAGAATGGTTACTAATTAATACTTTATTATGACAATTATATGTATTATTAAATAATCTTCTGGGTTATGAAAAACGCCATGTAACAAATAAATTTTAGTAAGCATTTATATAGATTCTAAAACAGAATTACAGAAGTACATAACTATATGGAACATGAAACATAAAATCAATTTTTTTTTTCACAAACACGATTCAAAACATTCCATAATTCAATATCCAGAAACATAGGGGCAGAAAAGTAAATTTAGTTGGGACTTTTAATAGCTACAATGGATACCTCATTCATTTAAAATGGATAATCAAACAAATATAATCAACCAATGAATTAGGTAAACTAACATGAAATTAATACCTTAATCGGATCGGGCATTTCATCGAACGCCTTATAGGCATGTTTCTCATCCAAAAGCAGTAACCTTGTTGAGCCTTTCCACTTCCCAAACCTGTACTCAACGTCTCCAACTAACTCATTCAAATCCTCCTGCCGACGTATTCCTAACAAACATAAGTACATGGAGCCTACAAAATGCAAGAACTCGTGAACTGAAGTTTCAGTCCCAAGGCCACTTGAGGCTCCTGAAATAGCGACATGGAACAATCACAACAAAAACAAACGTCAGTTAATGGTTTTGGTTAAGCTATTTGAGGTGTGGGAAGGAGAAATCAACAACGAATTCCAAGTGTAGAGCCTTGTAAATACACAACTATATGTATAAAACCAAAAAAAAACTAATAATGAAATTTTGATTGTATGAATAATGTATAAAAAAACAGAAAATGTTTTACCCGAAATCAACAAAGCATGAAAGTGGAATTTTTTTGGGCTGAAACGTACTTGAATCAAGTTCCTGGGTACTTGTTTGTGGTCAGAGTTATTGTTCTTCGAAGATGATAAGAACCGAAAATTACAACACATAAATATTGGTCGATTTATGCATGACAGAGCCTTCGATTAGTTGTACTTATCGATTGATTGCAAAAGCTTGCTTGCCTTCATTCTCTTTATCTAACTTTGAATCGCAGTGAAAACACAAAAGATGGAAGAACGATACTATTTACAAGTCGGTTCACTATTGTAGGAATAGACCAGGCAAGCATCGAAGGAGACGAAAAGATGGCGGTGCTATGGTTGAAGAAGACGCACGAAACTGGACATAAAGTAAAGACGGAGTCGATATGCCTTCCGACTTGCCCTGCCAAAATACGGACCCGAATTTCACCCGGTGCTCGATACCCCAACTTTTTTCGCAAATAAAATTCATCATCGCCTCAATCTGGTAAAGAACGATCAAAATCGGAACCCATCAAACAAATCAGAAATGAAATACATGGCGTCAATGATGGTAAAGAACAATGAAAATCGGAACCCATCAAAGGAAGCAGTCAAAGTCGGAGGTTTGTCGTCAGGTTCGTCTCCTTCTCCACCTGTGAGAAACAATGATCAAATCGGGGGTGGAGTCTGTCACTTCCACACTTCGTTAGAACTACGGACCGACCGCCGGCGCTCATGGCTCTGAAAGACGGAGGTGGTGAAAAGGCGGCGTCAAGGGTGGTGGTGGTGGTTGTGAGATGATCGGAGAAAAAATTATGAAGCTTTGAGAATGGTCGGAAATGAGAGTATATGAGAATATGATATACTCTCAAAGAACACAGTAGATGGAGGCTGTGGTAATCTGTGATTGGAAGAGAAAAACAGTGATTCAACTGGTGCGGTTTGAATACCTGTTTGAGCGACGACGATATTCAGAACTTTCAAGTCAACTCGGGATATCGATTACCAAAAACCCACACACAAAATTTTGAAGAGAGACCCAACCAATAACCCAAACCCAACATCAAACAACCTTAAAATGAAAATCACATTCAGTGAACAAAAACGTAAAAGCATGAAACATAGAAAACGCAGACAAATAGAGATGAAATAGTATAACCGTAGAGGAAGTGTCCATTCGGGAAATATTTGAGTCTGTGAAGAAACAGATTGGAGAAGAAAGGCGGTGATACTCAGTGGAGGAAAATGATCGGCCAAAACGCAAGAGCTGAAGAGGAAGGAAGAGTAAAGAATAAAGAAAGAAGAAATAAGGAAAACGGAAACAAATACTATTGGAGGAGAAACAAAATTTAAGATAAGAAGAATCAAACAGCCGACATGCGTAGAGAAACGAAGCATAATGAAAAACCAGTGTCCCAAAGAGAAAAAGGGAAAAGTCCAGTGTCTGATTTAGAAAGAGAAAAAAGTATACTGTAGCCTAACTTTTTTATTTATGTATATATAAATAATATATAAATAAGCATTTGAAATTCTTATTATATATATATATATATATGCATGATATATTTATTTCATATTTATTTAATTTGGGTTTAATATTCTCTAAGAAAATTTACAAGTTTTAATAAGTATGACTCAGAGACAAGACCAGTGATTGATTGGATTAGCGTAAAACGCGCAGATAAGGACGTAAGTCGCGGTGCCGGACCACAATCATCGTCGGGACAATTTGCCTCTGTTCATCGTTATTAAACAAGTAAGTTTTCTTAAAAAAATTTAAAGCAAAATTATTTAAATATGAGTAAATTTTCACGTATACTATCTAAAAAATATATTCCTGATAAAAATGTCGATAATGAACAAGATTATGATAATCAAATAAATTCTATTGAAGAAACCGTTAATGGCATAGAACAAAGTTTGAATGATTGGACAATACCTAAAACTAATGTTAATACAATATATAGAATAGGAACTTTTGACTATTTTCAAGGTTATTCTATTAAAATGACAGAACAAACTTTGTCTATTGGTCAAAACCAACAAAATTTACATTTATTATCATCACGATCTATTTTATAACATAGAATGAAATATAAATTTTTACATGTTGGTTTAGTCCAAATTGCTATCAAGCCTTTATTCAGACTCGGAATAGATGCCCATGTTCTCCTTATTTTAAGAGACAAGAGACATAAAGATTTTCAAAATTCTATTTTAGCTATGGCTGAAACAAATATAGCTAACGGACCTATTTATTTCAATTGTTATCCAAATTTTTCTGTAGGGTTATTTGATAAAAATATTTTAGATACTTTAGTGTTAACTATAGAAACAAAAAATTTAGAATTTAAAGATGATACAAAGCCTTTAGCAATAATTTATCGTGTTTGTTACAAAACCATGACAACTACACTTGAACCGAAAACACGTTTATCGAGTCCTAAAAATGAAACAATTATTTTTGAAGCAAATACTAACCATACCAAAGTTCACACACCAAAAAGGTTAAAATGGTCTGATATAACTCAATCATGTAACTGGAATTTACAAAATGTTATCGATCCAAAACCACTAGACTCTTCAAAACAAATCTCAAATATTATAGAATATAATGATGGTTCAGTAGATATAAATTTTTCTTCCTTAAAAATTTCATCATCCAGATTATCGACTTCTTTTATCCCAGAAACAAGTTCTTCAAAATCTCCGTTATCAAAGTCAAGATCTTTAAAACTAAAAACTGTTGACTATACTAATTCTATTCCCAAACCATTATATCAAGATGACCAAAATAGTGAAAATAGTTTTCCTAGTCCTACTAAATCAGATTTTATTGATGAACTCCAAAATTTTAAACAACAAATATGAGTTCTAAAGTGCAAATTAATTGTTCAAAAAATAATAAGCTTTGGGTTAATATGTTAAAAAGACATTGGAAGATAAATTCTAATATATGCAAAACCATTCAACATTTAGAAGAAACTAGAATTCATGAAGATTATAATTTATACAAAATACTTCCATATACTAATGAATATAATAAACAAATAGAAAAAATTTATAGGCTAACAATAGGAATAGAAAAATACGAAAAATCACGAAGTCATAATTTAGAATCAATAAAACATATTTCTTCAATCCTAACAAAAACAACCTGTTAAAATGAATTTCTCAAATTTAGAATATCAAGTTGACTTTGATTACTTAAAAAATATTGAGTATTTCAAAGATTACAATAATAAAAAAAGAGCTTGGCACGAAGAAAATTTTTCATACTACTTAAGATTTCTCCATTTAGGCCTTTGGGAAGATTATGTTTTATCAAATAAAATTCATTCTCCTTTTTTTCAATGGTTTGAGTTAATTTATGCCCCTAAACATAAAATAAATTACCCATTTAAAAATAATTCTATCACTCCCATTTTAGAGAAAAAATATAAAGATATTATTTCTAATAAAGAAATTATTGCTAATTTTCCACCAAAAGGAGAAATTATTATTAACGATATGTTTATTGCGACTCCTTTAGTTCAAGCCCCAAATCAATTAACTACAGAAAAGAGTCTTCAAAAAATCATTTACCAAAATAATTATGCAAACGAAACCTTATCTAGTATTACCGAGCATTTAGTTAAAATTGAAGAAAAATTTTTCAAAGACAAGAATGATATGGCAAGCACTAGCAATATAAGTTTTGTTCATTGTCAAATCGATGGTAATTTTAATCTAGGAAATACGGATTTAATCAACGAATTAGAAAAAAGACTTTCAAAACTCCATATCTCAAACACTAACAATATTAATACCCTTACAAATGATGAAGCTGAAAATAGTGATATTAATAGTGAAACAAATTTTGAAACCCTTGCTCAACAATTTGATAATTCAAATGATGATATTAGTCAACTCACTAATGATTTTTCAAATCTTAATAAAATTCATCAATCAAAGCGAAGCTCTTTCGGAAAGAATCCAAAGCCAACCATAAGAAATTATTGGAATAGACCTTCTCTTCCAGATGTTCAACTAGAAGAACGAACTTTTCAATTTGATCGTTCTCAATATGATGGTAATTCTGTTTATGAATGGAATGTTGATGGCCATTCTGAACATCAAATTATGAATATTGTACAAGAAATGACTATGGCTGCTAATGCTTATAAAGCTCATAATAATACTCAACTTCAAATTGTTAATATTATTACTTCTGGTTTTACTGGTAGTCTCAAAGGATGGTGGGATTTCTATATTTCACAAGAAGAAAAAGATTATATTTTATCTGCTAAGAAAACTATTATAAAACAAGAAAATAATCAACAAATACAAACGTTTGAAGATGATATGGTTAACACTTTAATTTTTGCTATTATCAAAAACTTTGTAGGAGATCCTACTACTTTTCAAGAAAAAACTTCAGAAATTTTAATGAATTTACATTGCAGAAAACTTACTGATTTTAGATGGTATAAAGATAATTATCTTGTTAAAGTTTTTTCAAGACCTGATTGTAAAGAGTCTTATTGGAAAGAACGTTTTATTGCTGGCCTTCCAAAACTCTTTGCAGAAAGAGTTAGACAAAAATTAAGAGAAAGTTTTAATAATACCATCCCTTATCAAAATTTAACTTATGAAGATTTAATAAACTACATTAATAAAGAAGGATTAGCAGTTTGTGCTGATCTTAGGTTTAAAGAAAAGCTTAAAAAATATAGAATTAACAGTAAAAATGAATTGGGAAATTTTTGCCAACAATATGGTTATCAGCCCTTGAATGGTCCGTCTACTTCAAAATCTAAAGTATATAAGAAAAGACCTTCAAAATATTTCAGAAAAAAGAATTATAATCTTCCAGAAAATTATAAAAAAGGCCAAGATTATGCGTCAAAATCCAAAAAACCTTATAAACCAAATTATAAAAAATCTAAGAGAAAATCAAAAGATATTATTATTTGTCATAAATGTGGGCGTAATGGTCATACAGCTAATAATTGTTATGCTAAGACAAAAATAAATGAGCTAAATGTTTCTGATGATTTAAAAGAACAAATAAGAAAAATTATTTTAAATACTGATTCAGATTCCGATGAAAGTATTTCTGATTTTCAAACAAATGATTTAAATATTCTCGAAAATACTACTTCAAGTTCAGAAGATTCTGATGTTTGCGAATGTATTGGTAAATGTCATTGTAAAAATTTAATCAATGTAATTACTAGTAGTTCTATTAACGTTCTTTCACAAGATGATAAAGATCTTTTAAACTCTCTTGATTCTATAAAAGATAAAAATATCCAAGAATTATTAATAAAGTAGATGCTTAATAAAACTAATAACATAACTCCTGATAATAATGAAAATTTTAATTTAAAAAATATATATGAAAGATTTACTGAAGCAAAGCCAATCTCTATGCAAGAACTTCAAGAAGAATTAAAAATAGTAAAACCAGAGATAAAAGAAATAAAAAATAAAATTTTAATTTTAGAAAAAGAAAAACCTTCTATTTTTAAAAACAAAAATATAGAAATTAATAAAGAAGAAGAAAATAAAATTGAAAATGTAACTATTGGAAAAATTATAAATAATCAAGTTTCTCAAAAATGGAATACTCAAATCACGTTAGTCAAGGATAATTTTAAAATCAACATAACTGTTTTAATTGATAGTGGTGCTGATATGAATTGTATTCAAGGGAGGAATTTTTCCTACACAATTCTATGAAAAAACTGCATCTAGACTTACTGGTGCTGGAGGTACAAAATTAATTGTAAATTATAAAGTTTCTGATGTTCATATTTGTAATAACCAAGATTACTGTTATAAAACTCACCTAATTTTAGTAAAAGATCTATCTTCTCCTTTAATTCTAGGAACACCTTTTATTACAAAACTATATCCTTTTATGGTTCATGATGATGGTATAAGAACCAATGTTTTTGGAAAAGAAATTATATTTAAATTTTGTGAACCTCCTCTATATTCAACGATTAATGTCCTTAATTATAAAACACAACAAGCTAAATATCTTATTAACGAAATAAATAATGTTCGAATAACTAATCAATTAAATGACAATAATATTCAAAATAAAATAATAGGTTTAAAATTAAAATTTGAAAAAAAATGTCTGTTCTAATATTCCTAATGCCTTTTGGAATAGAAAACAACATATTGTAAAATTACCGTATATAAAATTTTTTGATGAAAATGATATTCCTTCAAAATCTAGAGCCATTCACATGAATAGTAAACTAGAAAGTCATTGTAAAAACGAAATTCAAGATTTAATAAATAAAAAACTTATAAGACCTTCTAAATCACCATGGTCTTGTTCAGCATTTTATGTTATGAATGCCGCAGAATTAGAAAGAGGATCACAAAGATTAGTTATCAATTATAAACCTTTAAACAAAGTTTTAGAATGGATTCGTTATCCTATTCCTAATAAACGAGATTTACTAAAAAAACTTTATGATTCAAATATATTTTCAAAGTTTGATATGAAATCAGGATTTTGGCAAATACAACTTCATGAGGAAGATAAATTCAAAACTGGTTTTAATGTTCCCTTCGGGCATTTTGAATGGAATGTAATGCCTTTTGGATTAAAAAAATGCCCCTTCTGAATTCCAAAATATTATGAATGATATTATAATTCCTATAAGTAGTTTTGCTATTGCTTATATTGACGATGTCCTAATTTTTTCAAAATCAATTGATCAACATTTCAAACATTTAAATCAATTTTATGATTTAATTTATCAAAATGGTTTAGCTGTCTCTGCAGCAAAAATGCATTTATTTAAAGATGAAATTCGTTTTTTAGGGCATGATATTGTCAAAAACACTATTAGACCTATTACAAGAAGTTTGCAGTTTTCTACTAAATTTCCTGATGAAATTAAGGATAAAAAGCAACTTCAAAGATTTTTAGGATGCTTAAATTATATCCATGGTTTTTTCAAAGATTTAGGGATTATATGTAAACCACTTTATAACAGATTAAAAGATAATCCTGAACCATGGACTAAAAAACATACAGATATAATTAAATATATAAAACAAAAGGTTCCTACTTTGTCATGTTTAAATTTACCTCATCCCAATGCCAATATCATAGTTGAAACCGATGATAGTGATATTGGATTCGGAGGAATTCTAAAACAAAATTTTGTTAATTCAAAAGAAGAACAATTGGTTCGATACTACTCTGGTGCATGGAATGATACACAAAAAAATTATTCAACTGTCAAAAAGGAAATTTTAAGCATTGTTTTATGTATTAAAAAAATTTGAAGATGATTTATTTATGAAAAGTTTTTTATTAAGAATAGATTGTCAATCTGCAAAAACTATTTTAGAAAAGGATGTGAAAAATATTATTTCCAAACAAATTTTTGCTCGATGGCAAGCCCTTTTAGGTAACTTTGATTTCGAAATAGAATTCATAAAAAGCGAAAATAATTCGCTTCCTGACTTTCTTTCTCGAGAATTTTTGCAGGGAAAATGAGTTCATCGTCCTCTTCCAAACATGATGACAAGAAACCCGTCTATCAAAAGCTTGTTCCATTTCAAAATCAAAATCGTTTTTCTCCTTTAACCCCTTCTTCTAAGAATTCACAACTTTATTCTAATATCCTTCAATCAAAACTTGTTACTCCAAAAGTTACTCCAACAAACACGATAAGCCCTTTTGTAAGACCTTTTACTCCTCAAACTCAAAATTCTGTGACTCCTAGCCCTCCTACAAAAACTCCTTATGTTCTTAATCCAAATTTCTTAAGAGTTCAAATTCTTGAAGATTTTCAAATCCATAAGTTACATCAAGGTTTTCATATTCTCACAAATCATCTTTTTGGTCAAGGGAAAACCTTTTATGTTGATTCATATAAAACTCGAGAATATTATCAAGCTATTTTGTAAGAATCTGGTTCGGTCAATTTTGTTCATCGTTCTAATTCAAAAGAAGGAAACATTGATTTTAGCAAAGCTCACATCATCAAAATCATTTCTCCAGAAAGTTGGGTTCCAAACCTTCATTCTGAAAAACCTCTTATAAGTTATCCTGCTTATCCCAGATTTTCTTACTATGATTATCAAGATGCCTGGACTAAGGCGTTCTTTATTCGAAATTATTCACACTCATGGTTTATCTTCTTTGATTTAAACTTCAATTGTGAATACCCAAGATGGTTTATCAATTGGTACAAATATATGAGAGTTCTTCCGAATTGTTTACCAAAAGAAATTTACAATGTATATCTCAAATTTAAGGAATTGTTTATTCAACAAATTCCAGAATTTGAATATATGCTACAATTCACTATGATATTCAGAGTTCCATGGATAATGTCTTGGACTTTTCATTATCAAGAAGCAAAGGATACCTCTCCTCCCTGGCTTAATCGACAATTTCGCTCAAAATGGTGGGATAAAATGAAGATTTCTCAAGCCAGTGAACAAGCAGTAATTAAATATTATCAAGAAATATATATTAAAAAACCGGAGGTTGAAGCCACTTTTATCAAAAGTCTTCCTCAAAGTGATGTGGATTTAATTTCAAGAATTAAAGATGCTGCTACCTCTTCTCCTGAAGAACTTCAAAACTTACTTCAAGAAATTCGCCAAACTCCATCAGTTTCTGACGATTCTCCAAAATCTATAAAGAATGGTTTATTTCAAGACGCTCAAGACCCTTTTGATGATCCTTATGAAGAATAAGAAATTCTTAAATTTGGTGTAATACCTTCAATGTAGGGTATTTCGTTTCTTCTATTTATCAAATCCATTATTTTCAAATACGAGTGTGTATATACTGTGTATTTTTACACTATATGTATTTATAGTGTATAAAACAAATATTATCAAATTTATTATCAAAATTATTTAGTCTTATCAACAATAATAATATGAAGACAAAAAACTTTACAAGATGCTCCATAATGGATAATATGAAGACAAAAAACTTTAGAAGATGCTCTATGATGATATGCTTTATCAAAATGTGATATTTGCTGATTACAAAAGATAATTTCTTCAAAAGATGAAAGTGACAACCACTTACAAATTATTGATGGACCATTAAATCATACGGCAAGATTTCACTACAAGATTTCAAGGTTTTGAAGACTTCAGAGCAATATAAATAGACATCATGTGTTTGTAGAAAAAAGCAAGCAAAAAATATTCATTCTCTAAAAAATGTTCATCCTATGTCTAAAAAATCTCCAAGAGTCTCTCTCTTTCTACCAGCAGATGTTCAAAGTCTCTAGATTTTCAGATAATTCTTTCTCCAGATGTATGTACTGATTGTAATTTAAGCTTAGTTCAAGAATGTATTATCTAAAATATTTATTCAATTGTTGTATTGCTTTTATCGACGATGATAGTTTCATTTCGAATTGTTCTAACTATTAATTCTACAAGATTTGAAATTTTTGTCAAAATAGTACTTGTTTTTAATAATCAAATTAATCAAATTCATGCTTGAATTATTTGATTATGTCTAACAAAATCTTGATGAATTGTATTTCTAATAGAGATATTCTTTTAAAAATACAACAAATCCAAGAATCTATAAATAATTCTGAGCAAAATCTCAAGAATTCTTACAAACCTGATAATCTAGGTACGATTTTAAACAATAATCATATTCATGATGTTAGACAATTCATAAGAGCTAGTATTAAAATTCGTTACAAACAAATACGTTATCTAAAAGCAAAACTATTTGTATTTTAAATTATCATTTATGTCTTTTAAACTTTAATCGTAACCATTAAATATTAACAAAAATAGATAATCTTGTCATAATTATAATTATGGTATCAGAGTCTGGAAAAGTTTTTGGGGTGGTTATGCATGATATATTTATTTCATATTTATTTAATTTGGGTTTAATATTCTCTAAGAAATTTACAAGTTTTAATAAGTATGACTCAGAGACAAGACCAGTGATTGGTTGAATTAGCGTAAAACGCGCAGCTAAGGACGTAAATATATATATATATATATATATATATTATATATATATATATATATATATATATATATTAATTTACAAGTGCCGACTTTCTTGTGGTTGCTTTATTGTTTTTCATTTTCTTTTCTGCTTTTCTTTTGTTATTTGTCTTTTTTTTATCTTCTATAGTGGATTACACGTATTGGACCAAACTTAATTTTGGTCTCTTGGATACACATATTCTTTCTGTGTTCCACCGATTTATCCTTCCACCCGTTTTTCTCTCCTTTACTCCGCCTGTTTCCCACCGCCTAATCCACTTCCCATTTAATTTCTCCTCCTTCCAGAACCATCTTCGTCTCCCACACTACTCCCACCTCTTATCTATCTCGCCTGAGATCGACATTTGATTTGCAAAGCATAAACCCTATCCCCTTTGTCGCCTTAGATGGTGCTGACCACCGAAGAGGGCAGCGGTGGCGTCCAGTCGGAGGTGTCGACTCTACATACCTTCAACGCTACCCTTCTCCTTCCACAGTCTCTTCTACAGACTTTCACCACCACCATGGGGCGATGGTAAATCGATTTGAGGAGTCGAAGAACAACTTTAAGCCCTCAAATAGAAGATTACATGCCCTAAAATCGATTTAGAAGCAGCTGCTGATCGCGGCTAAAGTCGTACGCTTTGGACTCGATTTTGACGTCCCACTCCAGTTTCCGGCACCAACATCGTCGACGACGCAGGTCGTTCCTCATTCCGATTCCATTCCGCTTCACCGTTCTCTCTCAGTTTACCATCCACCTCCACCGGGGTTAGTTAATCCGTTTGATAAGGTGATACGTTCTTTCCAGAAACCTCTTTCTCTCCCACCTTTTACTCTTCCCACCGCCTCCAACTCCTTGGTGGTGTGCTGTTTTGAGTTGTGGCACGCTTGTGCCCGACCTCTGATATCGCTACCGAAGAAAGGAAACGCCGTTGTGTACTGCCCTCAAGGTCACCTCGAACAGCTACAATCCAGCGGCGATGGTCCAACCTCCGGCGACTGTAATCTCCCCCCTCATGTGTTTTGCTGTGTTCTTGACGTCAAGCTTCACGTAAGTTTCATTCTTTCTTACCATAATCTATAAATTAGTGACTAATCAGCTCATATATTAATGAACTTTCATGGAATTAGGCTGAAGCTGGAACTGACGATGTTTATGCTCAAGTTTCCTTGATTCAAGATCCTAAGGTTTGTTTACATTTTTGATTTTCAAGACTATAATTCAGTTTTGGACTATGGTTTTTAACTTAATTTTGTTCGGTGGCATAAAACAGCATGGTCGAAGAAGGAAAAAGAGACTGTAAAATGAAACAGGGATGAAATGTTACAGAGAAGGACGATGAAGTGTTCGATGGAATTCCCCTACGAATTTTCAGAATTTCCTTAAAAGCCACTATAGGTTTGTGCATGTGTTCTGTAAGGTTTAGATAGAACAAACATTTATTCTGAAGCCGATATTATTTAATCGTTTTTTTATGAGTCGGTAGTTAGAAAAAAACTTTTTCTGATTAAGATACATTTTTCCCTTTTCTATTGATTTTCACAAAAATTGCCTTCTGAATTTGAGAACCATGGAGATAAAAAAAAAACTTACTCCATACTACTTTCATATGTTTTTGCAGATCAAATTCTCCATTAGTATTCACAATCCGTAACTTCTCTATACACTACTAAAGTCAGAATATAGCTTCACCCTCTTAATTGTTGTTGGGTTGTAAGAGTCAAGCACATACATGTTGAGTACTTGGGTTATGGCAGGATGTAGTAAAAGTTATTTCCCATATCTCTTGAAAGTTGAAACCCCCCTCTTTTGTGCTAGGCTCTATATTTTTCTATATACAATGAACAATGATTAACCCTGTACCTGATTAATGTCTTATCCTACAAAAGATGACACAACAATGTCATGAAAAGATAAGCTAAACGTTCATAACTTATTATATCAAGCAAGCATTTTCATTCTAATTAATTGTATTCATCAGCTAATTTAGTTATGCAACAGAAAACAATAATTCTTGAAACTATAATAGAGGTATTAGTTTATCTGTTTTCCATGAAAATTGCTCTCAATTATTTATTCTATCTCTAACTTTGTTATTGATTAGAATATAAAATGGTGCAAAAGAAGGTGAAAGACCAACTTCAGTTGGATCCTATCACTGTAAAGTCAGACGAGGTATACTTTCAATTTCATACATTTTTCAGTTGTTGCACTTTTTTGCTGGCATTTTTAAACATTAAGAATGGTGTAATATGAACAAATAATGGTGTGATTTCATAATTGAAATTTTGACATTATTTAGTTGTTAGTTCTCTTGATACGGTATTCAACTACTCTATTTTTGGGATGTGCCCCTGGAATATCATTAACCTGGTGTAGATTTTGTTATATTCAGCTTTGGTTTGGATGTTATGAGTAATTCTAAACTCTCAATTTTATATAATTTTCAAGTTTTTGAGAAAAATTGGTAGCTAGATTAAATCTCTTATAATAGTTGTTTGTGTTGACCTTGCGACAAATTAGAATTTCAAAACAAGTTTTTTAGATTTGGTATGAAAAGTCAAAAGTGTAGCCTTTTTTTGGAACAATGGATTGTTTTCCTCTTTCGAATGTGTTTCGGTTAGTGTTGAGAATTTTATTCCTGGACCATTAAATTAAAAGTTAATCAATTAATTATCACACATAGCCTATAAGTAATCGTTGTTTTATTTTGATAAAATTACTTTTGCAGGTGGAAGTTTCCAGTCATTTTCCTGCAAGTAACCATGATTCTCAACTTTTCAAGTTGAAAAAGCTTGATTATTTCACCCCAAGTGAGAGACTTTCCTCCTACATATCTTCCTACTCATTTAAAATGATGACAAGTGTACTAAAATGTAATTAATCTTATTCAAATATGACACATGTCATCGTTTTACATGGATAGGAAGATAAGTAGGAAGAAAATGTAGGAGGATATTTAATTTCTCTTTTTAATATAGTTATTTTCAGCGATAAAGAGACGATTTTGTAACGGAGATATTATCTAATATAGTCAAACACAATGAAATATGCATTGAAAAATAATTACCATCATGCTCGGATAAATATCACAATTCACAGGCTGTCTCAAGATACAACGAATTGTGACTAATGGGACAAAAATTGCGCTTTTTTGTCCCAACCCAAAAGTTAGCTAGAAAAAACTCGCTTCAAATTTTCAAATCCTACTTAATTTACTTATGGATCCTGAGGTTTCTGTATTTCCTCTTACATGTAATCTTCAAATCTGGATTATGATGATTTCTATTGCTAATGATTACTGAACGATTTTTTCTAATTTGAGATTGCAGAGATTAACACCACCAAGATTTAGAACTGCGTCATTAGTTTTCACTTGGATTACCAGCCCCGCAAAAGCGTGGGAATTCCATTCATTCTGACTAAATTAGCCATTGGTCAACCTGGAAAAATTGTGATTAGAATGGACGTTTCTAAATCTAAGTGTGGTCAGATTTGTAAATAACAATGGGTAATAAAAGAGTATGAAACACCCTCCAATCCCTGTAACTACAACACCCGCAATCCCTATAACTCCAACATCCGCAACGCGGGATTCTTCCTTAGTTCATATATAAATAAGTAACAAAATTTTGATAAATATTTTATTCATATATGAATATAACATATGATGACAACTAATACACGTTTTACTCATATATAAACTCATATATAAATATAACATGCGGCAAAAGATGATGTAAAAAATATACTTTAGGTAAGAAAATTGATTACGTGTTATATTCATATATGAATGATACTTAAACTGTAAAAAAGTTAAGCATACGTTTTATTCACAAGTGAATAACGAATGTACTATAATAAAAATATGATGAATTTTATTTCACTTATGTATAACGAGAGCTGAAATTCTAAAAAAATAAACTTTTTATTTTATCTTAAAACTATATCAATATAGATGTCTATTTATAGAGAACAAAAAATTTTGAATTTTGATATATTTTAAATTATTTTACTATAAAAATAGTTTTCTCAATAATAGTTTTCTCAATTGAATCCTCCTATATTATATATATATATATATATATATATATATATATATATATATATATATATATAGGTCCGGTTCCGGTGAATACTCTATTTTCGGTGAGGACACCATAAAAAATTTAAAAAAAAAATTAAAAAATACAAATCATAAAATCGAACATATTACTACATCGGAGAAAAAAAATTGGAAAAAAAGTTTTGGGTCGTTAAAATTGAATAATGGATCATAAAAAGTGAATCATGGATCATAAAAATGATCAATGCCTTCAATTTTAATGATCCAAATTTTTTTCTAATTTTTTTTACTCTCCGATATAATACTATGCTCGATTTTATTATTTGTATTTTTTTACGCTGTCATCAGGAGTCCTCACCGAAAAAGAGTCCTAACCTAATCCTGTTTTTTACCTCTTATATAATAAATCTTATAATAAGTTGGTATAAACATTGTTGTTATGAATTATATGATAATATAGACATTTTTTAAAATTCTATAATCTCAATTTTCTCAATTGTCTCTACCTGCAGGTTACTTATGAATAAAATTAAGTATATATTATAGTTTAATGATATTTATAGTTGTTATGATTAATTAATTTTAAAAAGTTTATCTGCTTAGGATTTTAATTTCTATCATTGTAATTATTTAAAATATCAAATATTGTTTATAATGTTACTTTTAACTATTATTGTTGTAAGTTATTTAAAATAACGTATTTAGAAACTCTTAAGTATTTAAATTTGGTTTCAAGAATTTAACTTTTTTAATATTTATTTGATGAATATTATTAGTTTCTTTATTTATAATTATTTAACAACAAACATTGTTTTTGTTTTTAAAGATAACATTATAATTTTTTATATAATATCACTTTTAACTATTCTTATTGTAAGTTATTTTTAAGCTACTTATTTGAAAGTTTTTAATGATTATAAAAAATAGTTTCATGGTTTTTTTTGTTAATTTAGGATTACAATTTAGGTTTAACACTATAATTTATAACTAGTTATAAAATAATTAAACTATTTTGCATAAAATCATAAATTATACAAAAGTTATAATTTTAAAATGACAATTGCTCACATACAACAACATATTTAAACTAATATGTTAACTATAATATGTTGAAAAGTTAAACTCAAAATTTTACAAATAGATGTAAAATATGATATTTTAATATTCTAGTTTAGTTAATTTATGATTAGAATTTAATTTTTGCATTAATTTAACATTATTAACTAATTTATAATAATTATTAAAAAGAAATTGAAAAGTCATGGAGGTTCCAAATGCATGTGGTGCAAGTAAAAATGCATTTTTTATAAGTATATTAGGTGATATTCTGCGCATTGCCCATTTATAATTAAAATATTGATAAATATATGTTATTAAAATAAATATATAGGTTAGTGCGTTTAAATTAATAATTCGTAAACTAATTTATTATAAAATATTCTAAGTATTTTAAATAAATGATAAACATTATAAAAAAGGAGTGTACGCAATTACTTGGGTAATTGATTTATGAGTACCAAATAATAGATCTTATATTATTCTATTTAAAATCTCATCATCTCAATAGCCACTATCTGTGAAAATAAATATAAACACAATTTAGATAGACATATTTTTTTTAATGATTTTTAAAACTATTTGTTGATACATGTTTTATATTTAATATTTTATTTAAACTTTTAATATTTTTAATTTATTTTAGACTGTCTATTTTATGGAAATATTATTATTATAAAAAATAAGTTTTAACTAATTTTTTTTTTGTTAATTTGACATTTAGATTTAGATCATCCATTTAAACTTTTTAACTATTTAAAAAAAATGGTTTTGAATATATTATAAAAATTATGTTTTGAATTTAACATCATATTTAGATTAACAAACTAAGTATATTATATTGAGAATAAAGAATTAATATTGAATTTCAATAATATTGGATTTTATGTATTAATTTAGAAAGAAGTTGAAGAGTCGGGGGTTTCAAATGAATGTGGTTAAAGAAAAAACATCTCTTTTATAAGTGTGTGTGTGTGTGTGTATATATATAGGGTCCGGATCCGGTAGGAACCTAAAAATTGGTAGAAACCACAACGACTATTCTCCACCGATCATTTCGTCAAGGGCACAAACGTCAAACCCATTTACTTGGTTGTGACGCGTTCGCACGCGGCGAACGTGCATGGAACGTGTTGGAACATGAAAGTGAACCTCTAGCAATCACAAGTATTGAAGATTCGAAGTCAGCAAGTTCTGAAGTAGAGATGGAATCCGAAGTGAAGACCATTCTGAGATGGAGCAAAGATCCGAGATTGATAGTCTGTTTATGCATTTTTATTTCTTGTCTTTTAGGTGATGTAACATTTCATAGTAATTAGCCTTTTGTATCAATTAGATAATCAGTTGTTAGAAGCTGTTTATTATCCAGTCCAAGGAACGTTTTGTAGTTTGTACGATGTACCTCCTTTTCCTATATAAGGAATGATTTTAATGACAAGAAATACGCTGATTGTTTCTCAAAAGATAGCAAATATTCCTCTTAACTCTCTTTCACTTTTCTCTCAAGTCAAGACCATTTACAACATTCTTCTTGTTCATTTATTATCTTTACATTGATTATACCCATAGCTTCTTTGTTCAATACTTGTGTACTTTGTTGAATCTTTACTTCAAGTCTCGACTGGTATTACCAGACTTGACTGGAACATCAATTAAGAGCAGACATTGATCTTTAAGATTAACTCAAGGTTTGAGTTTTCAAACCTTGTCCTTGCGTATTGATTGTAGTACTCACTAACAGATTATTGTTGATTCGAAATTATCTTTGTATTTTGATCATTTCTGTGTTCAGGATAAAAGTTCTTCTATATACCGCTTCTGCTCTTATATTTAGATTCAATGGTTGCTCCCAATTCTTAACAAATGTATTCAATGCAAATCGAAAATAGTGTGGGTTTCCCTTCTCGTGCCCCATTGCTAATGGTTGAAGAGTATGATCACTGGAAAGTCAGAATAGAAAGGGTTTTACTTAGAAAAGAAAAATGTGAAGCTATCTGGAGATCCGTTAAAGAAGGTCCACTTATTCATGTAAGACAACCTGTGAGAGATGCTGCAGAAACTCTCATGGGACAGGATGAACAACATCAAACACCTCTTACTGCTGATGACATCGAGAAATTGCATGCAGACCAAGTTTCATTTTCCGAAATGGTGTTTAGTGTTCCACCTTCTCTCTTTGAGCACATTAAGTTGTGCAAATCTGCTAATGAGATTTGGGACACTCTCCAAGACCTGTTCGAGGGACCAGAAAACATGAAGGATAAGCGTTTGACTTCCGTTGTCAACGAGTTCGATACTTTCACCACAACTCCCGGTGAATCAGTTGCCTCGACCTCTAACAGATACTGAATCGTCGTCAACAACAGGACATGTCATGGGATTGTCCGAACTCCTCTAGAGTACAATCTCAAGTTCATCAATAGTCTTGGTAAAGGATGGGGAAACGTTAAATCTTGTCTTCATAGTAATGGACTTCTGAAGAAGCTGAAGCTTTACAAACTATTTGATGAGCTTCAAGGTCATGAATCAAATGTTGCACAAACTTTGAGAGAACTCTCGGGAGGACTTCTTGCTTTTGTCAGTTCTTATGATCCGGAAGTTCTGAACCTCTCTGCTTCAGAACCTTTTAAGCTGGTATCCCATCTATCCCACCTGTTCAACCCCCTCAACCAACTTTACCTGCTCATGCCAATTCAAACTATCAGTTTGATGGAGACTTCGACCCTGAAGCAATAGACTATAAACTACGTTTTCAACAAGAGTTTGCTTTACTCTCCATGAAATATAAGCGTCCTTTCAATCCTACTCACAAACCATACAAAAACCGTTTCCAAGCTCCTCATCAAAATAATCCCCAACCTTATCCTAAATCTTCCGAAAATCCACCTGCATACAAGCCAAACATTCCGACACAAAGTTTCTCCTCGAAATCCCACAAGATTCCGAAGTCTGACAAACCAAAAATTGTTTGTCACAAGTGTGGTCATGCAAACCAATTTTCCAAAGACTGCTTGGATGAAGCACCACAAAAACCAAAGATCAAGGACTCTGCATACTATGCACGTCGAGCCCAAGAGACGGGTGCTAGTGAGAAAGCTTTCGTTATTATTGTGTTGAGAGATGTGGAAGGATATTGGTCATCTGGAGATGAAGATGATGTGAGTACTGGTAGAAAAATGTGTCTTATGGCAAGACAAACCATCGAATGTGATGAAGGCTACTTGTCATCTGGA